AATTCTTTTTTAGCCGAACTATGACGCTCTGATTCCTTCACGGGATATGTAAGCACGAGGTTTCACGATCGAGGCGAGCATCCTAATAAAAAAAAATTATTTTTGTTTGTTAAAAATTCATTCATGCATTCCCTTTAGCAAGTAAGTCTTTAGATAACACACATTTTGATTAGAACAAATATAATGGATCCTGCAGAGTACCGTAGATGTTTAGGATAATAATATCTTCCCTTTACATAACTGACCCCGTACCTTGATCTCTATTCTTTTTTTGGGTTTTATTTTCTCTTTTTAAATTTCCCTTTCAAAACAATAAAGTGCGGTGGTAACTTTCACTATGTGAGTTAAGTCAATTAATGACTTAATCTCAAATTTTCACCGCCACATGATAGACAACAATGACAACTCATCTTCATCTTCATCAAAATATTCTTCGGAATCCTCGATCTCTTCTGCTTGAAGAACTTTTGTATTCTCAGATCTTCTAATGGATTTAAGAGCAACAAACTCGCATATCTTATGAGGTTCATCTTGTTCCATCTCTATCTCACGACTTCTCAAAGAACTCACCACTTCTTATAGAGAAATGTTGTTCAGATCTATAGCCAATTTAAGAGCAGTTACCATAGTTCTCCATTTAGATGGCAAGCTTATATTAATCTCCTACCTGAAGTAGAGTATCCTTTTTTAGAAACCTAAGTTTTGTAACCAAGGTTTTAAACCTTGAGAACATACTCTCAATCGTTTCATCTTCTTCCATTTTAAAGGTTTTATGTTTATGAATCAAAGTCAAAACTTTAGTCTTCCTAACTTGAGCATTGCCTTCACGAGTCATTCTTAAAGAATCAAATATAGACTTAGTTGAGTCTCTATTTGTTATATTCTCATACTCAGTATAAGAAATCACGTTCAATAAGATAACTATTGCTTTATGATGATTCTTATAATCTTTCACTTGCTGGTCGTTCATAGATCTTCTCTAGATATTGTTTCCTCTTTCATCCGAAGGATGTTCGTAGCCATCGACTACTATATCCCAATGATCAACATCATGACACCTAAAAAGAAACTTTCTAGTTTATCCTTCCAATAATCAAATCTTCCACCATCAAAGATGAGAGGTTTAACATTATAGTTTTCTCTCTCATTGAGAACAGGCACAACAACAACATGTGGTGGAATGGCCATAGTGTTTCTAAAACATATGGATCTTTATCTGACACAATTAAGTATTTGAGAACTATCAATAGCAAAATCGGAGCTCTGGTGCTAATTGAAGGTGCAAGAAACACAAGAAAGAGGGGGGGGGGGGGGGGGGGGGGCGCTTGAATTGGGTTTCTAGAAATAAAATCTTTTCGAAACCAATCACAAGAAGTTAACACAAGAACAAAAATAAATGAACACAATTATTTTTATCTTGATTCACTACTAACGAAGTTAATCCACTCTACCCATCAAGGTGATTTGTCTTTCTCAATCAATGGCTTAATCCCATATAACCAAACTAATTACAATCCACAAAGACAAACTGTCAATGTCTTCTTGAGAATCCTGACTAAATCCTAGTCTCTCAAGGAACACAACCTCAAAGATAAACTATTAATGACTTCTTGAGTATTCAGACTAACACTTAGTGATTCAAGGAACAAAACCTCAAAGATAAACTATCAATGACTTATTGAGTATTCAGACTAACACTTAGTCACTCAAGGAACAATCAACTCACTGTTGAATACAAGCTTTTGTGTTTATAATAGTGCTTCTTGAAAGAAGATTACACATAAATGAAGAACAAATAATAACACAATAGTGTTAAGAAAGTTAGCGAACAACAGTTCTTTTCTAACAAGTTAATGAATAAAAGTTCCATGCTTTATAAAAGTACATAGTTATTTTGGTAGCGCTTTAGCAATTTGAATCAGCGTGAGTTTCTTCAAAGTTATTCAACAATTCCAATTTTTCCAAGTCTCCCTTTTATAGGTGAAAAGAAATCTGTTGGAGGATAGAATAGGAATACAAAATTCCAATTGTCTTCTTGCAATGGTCAATGTGAGTGATAGACAATATAGTACCAATAGTACAATTCTTACGTTATAAAACAGGATAGTAAAAGGATGTGACTTTGTACTATCAATTCACATGACACATTTGATCTTCTCTTCTAATTTTCAGAGGCTTTAGAGTATGTAAGAGTTGAAGGATGCCTAGAAGGATCAAAACTAGTCTTTAGAACCTTAATCTTTAGAATCTTCATAACTTGTTCAACCGAACCTTGTCTTTAGAGTCTTCAGCATGTTGGTCTTTAGAGTCACATCTTAAGAATCTTCAAAACTTCTTCACAGAACCCCGTCTTCTGAATCTTCAAAACCTTGGTCTTCAGAGTCTTCAAAACTCGTTCAACAGAACCTCATATTTAAAATCTTCGTAACCTTGAAGTAATAGAGCTTGGAATCTTCATAACTTAATAACCCTTCAAAATATCTACTACAGAGTCACAATTAGAAGCAATAAAACCAAAGATCATCAAAACCGTTGTTTTAAGACACATTCTAGGCAATGATACACACACTTGTATCCTCTAGTGTGTTGAGTCCAGAATCTAATGACGTCACACCTCAATTCTTCAGAGTTAGAACCTGTTAGCAAAAACTACACACTAAATAAACTATTAGGATACTAAATTATTATCTAATCATCCATGAAATGTCATCATCAAAACTCAAGGCTATATGCAAAACCAAATCTTGTTCTTACACAACCTACAAAAGATGTTGAATCACATGTAGACAATTCTAACTATGCATATTATATAAATATCACTTAGCACCATTTCAGCTACTCTAAAACTACTTTTCACTAACTCATTGACTTATGTGTAAAAGTGTTGGCCTTATAGGTTCACTCGAGGTTCGATCCACTGCACTAGAAAAGTGAATCTTCACATCTGAGCTATATTCCATCACTTCATCATCTATATGTAGTATAATTGATTTGAGTGAGATAAAGAAAAGATATAAAGTTTTCTCAATAGTGATTAAGTGAACATTTAGATTAGTTTGATTGTGAAAATCCTCCCTCTAGATCAATATATATATAAAAATTACTTTTTAAATGTATTGAATAACAAATGTATAATATGAAGACCAGATACAATATTTATTTAATGAATATAACAAATAAATTTCTTCTTATAAATAGAAGTAGATTTGCTTCTATCTTTTTATTTAAATAAGTGGTTATCCACATAGATTTGCTTCTTCTTTTTTGTGTTTGTTTAAATTTCGTTGTTTTGTGCAATATTTGTTGATTTTTCCGTCTTAGTATGGTGTTCGTTGGTTCAGATTGACATCTTCACTCCAACTCATTACAGATCTGATGAAGACTTTGGCGTCAATGTTGTAGATTCGAAAATATGAATATTCTGGTTACTTTTATTTTGTCATATTTGTAGGTACTTTCACGTTGCCGTTGTATGCTATTAACCTAGGTGCTGCAAGATTATTTGCATATTGATCTTTTCCAATTTTTAACAATCTTGAATTTGTAATGATCGATGTAATTTTCAATTTGAATGAATGAATATCTTTTTTAGTAAAAAAAAATAGTAGAATAAATTTATATAAATATTTGTTTGAGTATATATTAATCATTAAATCAATAATAAAATAAAAAAATAAAAAAATAAAATCCAAATAAATGTTATCCAAATTATAATATTCTAATCAAATACATATGCTTTAATGAAAAATGAACTTCCACTAAAAACAAACAGATCATTCATATATTATTTGAGTTTGATTTTTAGTGAAAATAAAATTTGATCAATAAATCATCTCTCTGAACCACGAAAATAGATTAATCGATTTACTATATAGATCGAAATTAATTGACTAAATAAAAAAAATTACAATAACTAAATAGGGTTAAAAAGGTAAAAGAAAAATTTCATAAGTGATTTTTAAGGAAAAGTCAAATATTCTCAGTGCAATAAAAATATTTCCAAAAGAGAGCCCCAATGGCCAATTTCTAATGGTGGTCCCAGACAACAAAGCGGGGCCCACAAAAACATAAACGCGAAACATCGCTGCATACGAATTCAACGAAAATCAACCAAACCAAACCTTCTCTGAGCCTACAAGCTTTCTAGAACTAACCCCAAAAGCAGAGTCACAAATTCTCCATTCCATAAACATCTCTCCTAAAACCAAAAACCATAAAATCCAAATTTCCTAATCAGCCACATTTCACACTCTAAAAAAACACAAAAATCAAAATATTCTAGTTTATAAAAAAGTAAAAAAAATAGAAATAGAAATCCCAGACAAGAACATTTAAAATTTAAAAACATAAGATAACGCAAAGAGATTTATTTAAGGTATAGAAACCCAAACCCGAACAAAAAGAAAGACAATTACGTTGACAGGAACAACCTACACATACACTATCTATTCCACTCCCAAACCACACCGTTCGTTCGTTCATAAAAAAAAATCAAATCTCATTAATATTCGAGAAGATAAAGATAATAAAAAAACTTTATAATGGAAATTAATATGAAAGGTTGTGATGAAATTGAAATTGTACTAGTCAAGAGCAACTGTTGTGTTGATTTATTATTTTGGATTTTCGATTGGGATTTTTTTTAATTAATATTTTCCTCTCTTCTTTTATTCTTCCTTGTTCTTTCTTTTTCTTTTCAATTTCTCTCATTGCACGCTTTTTTTTTTCTTCTTCGTTTTTTTTTTAATTATTATTTTTCTATCTCAGAAAGATGTATTGAAAATTTTGAGTTGTTCCGTTGCTTGAGTATCACGGAATTTTGATTTAATTGAGAGAGAAAGAGAGAGAGAGAGAGAAAATGCTTAAATGTACCAAATTGATTCTTTTGCCAAACCCTAGTTTTTGTTTTTTCTTCTTTTGAGGGTTCTTGCGATTTCTAGGTTTTGTGAAGAGAGAGAGAGAGAGAGAGAAAAGTTGCGATCTTTGATTGGTTTGAGTCGATGGAAGGGGAGGGTAGTTCGGAGGGAGAGAGTGATCGGAAAAGGGGTGGTGGCAGCGATGATAATAACAATAACGGTGAGAGTAATAGCAAGATTGCTGTTTCCAATGAAGGTCAGAGCAAGCCTAAGCGACAGATGAAGACGCCGTTTCAGCTTGAAACCCTTGAGAAAGCTTATGCATGTAAGTTCCTCTTTTCTCTTCAATTTCTTTAATTTCAGAAATTAGGTTTTTTTTTTTGTGTTTTAATTCTTGAATTTTGAAGATTTTCATATTTTGTTTTGGTTAATTTTGTGATTTTTTGATTTGATTAGTGGATAATTACCCTTCGGAGCCTGTGAGGGTTGACTTGTCTGAGAAATTGGGGTTAACGGATCGGCAGCTGCAGATGTGGTTTTGCCACAGGAGATTGAAGGATAAGAAGGAGGCGTCGGCTCCCAAGAAGGAGGTGTCGGCTCCCAAGAAGGAGGTGTCAGCTCCCAAGAAGGGGCCTGGGCCTGGGCCAGGGCCAGTGTCTCGTAAGCCAGCGGTCGAGCCTTTGCCGGATTCCCCGGTGGATGATCTTAGGTTAGGTTCCGATCATGGTAATGGGTATGGATCAGGGTCGGGTTCAGGTTCGAGTCCGTACACCCGGTTGGAGCCTCGGAATGCAATCCCTGTCAGTGTTGGTTACTATGAGTCCCCACAGGCTGAAATGGAGCTTAGAGCAATTGCTTGTGTGGAGGATCAGTTAGGTGAACCATTGAGGGAAGATGGGCCCATTCTAGGAATAGAGTTTGATCAATTGCCACCAGATGCATTTGGAGCACCTATAGGTATAAATGATAATGCCTCTTATCTTCACTGACTGTGTTACTGAATGCTGCAGTTTTTTGACAGCTTTTGTTATTGAAGGAAGTTGCTTTAAAGTTGAAACTATGATATAATGGTATAAGTTGTTTGTGATCTGTGAATACTACACCATGTTTTGCTTCTAACACTTTCATTATATGTTTTTTGGGTCAGCAGTTACAGAACACCAGAAGAGACCTCGTCTTGCCTATGACAGTAAAATATATGGAAGACATGAAGTTAAAACAAACAAGGTGGGTTTTCTTTATTCTATATTACAACAGTATAATATATTTTGGTCAATACAACAAATCTTGTCTGAACTTGGAGGTAGCTAAGATGATTGGGCACATGACTACATTCTTTAAGTTTAAATGCTTGCTCGTCTTTCATGTCAGTTGCTCTGTGTATTCCTTTAGTTCTTGTGCTGTTTGGACTCTTCTATATTTACCAGCTTTGAAATAGGGATACATAAACTTCTATATTCAATGTTTTTAAAATCGAGAGTTTATGCAAGATCGGAAGGGGTTTGAAAAAATTAAATATATTAAGTTATATACGCATGCATAAAAATGATCACAGATGAATAAGACAACCTCTGGATTACAACGTTATCTAAGTTCATAACCATAACAATAAATTCATAAGTAGGGAGGCACTGTTTGAAGCCCTTAACAAGAAAAAACAACAGAAACAAGGAACTTACATAGCACAAGAAACAGAGGAGTACACTCGGTGGCAGTTGCAGGAAACATAAGAACTTGCACAACAACATTGGCGCTTTATTAAAACCGAGAAACACACTCAGTGGCAGCACTGGAAAAATTGAAGTGTTTTTCCGTAAACAGGGTGGATTGCGCAAGGAAGATGAAGAAAACTGACTTTTTTTTTTAAATTTTATAACTGGGGTTCTAAACCTGACCTAGATATGTTGGTATAAAAAAGTCAGTATTTTTTTTTTTGCACAAACTCGACCCAAATAGGGGAATATTTTGCAGTAATCTGGTTCGCAAATTCTGCGATCTTTCCGCAGATTCCATCAATCCCAAAAGCTATGATCTTTACGGCATCACAACATGTAAATCCCATTCTGAATTGAATGACCGTGCGATTCTACAATCAGACTCGCTATTCCACAAACACTGGCTATTATTTTTTTTATAAATACTCACTTTTATTTCTTAGCCATATTTTATTTAAATGCTAATTTTGTGCAAGGAAAATGGAAGAAGGTGAAAATGGTGAGTGTCAATTGCATGTTTAGATTTAGGTGTTCTCTTGGTAAGTTTGTATGTCTATGATATTTATTTTTTATAGTATCTTTTGTCGTGAACTTGTGGATAATCTTTCTAAATGCTCTTTTGACACAAATATTCTTCTGTCTGTGTTTTCTTCATTGGCTTGAGGAACTGAAAACCTGCAGTTGTTACGTGTTATATATTTTTGAATGGCTAGTGATGTTTATTTTTAGTTTTTTATTGCTTGGTTTCTCTATTTAAGCTTGACTTGAAATGAACTTTATTCTAGGCTATGGCAAGGACTTTTCCGGAATATCAATATTCACCAAACCAGTCCGGTGCTAGATCTGATGCTTTTGGACAGTTCAGCCAATCTCATTTACATGTTCCAAAGGAGGGTCCATCCAAAAAGCCTCAGTCTGTGCTTGGTAATGAACGGCTACCTAGAATTCATGGCATCAAGGGTCATTCTTCTCGCGTCTCCCAACAAGACAAGCAAGGGAGTCCCTTCCAATCTCCTCCTCCGGATAATGTTACCCCCTCACGGGAATTGTACACAAGTACGGGTAAAGTTGGAATAAACTCCCACCTCACTGATAGCCAAACTGTTGGGCTGGAAAATACCTATGCTTCACCTAGTGGACAAACTTTGCAAAACAATGCAATGCATATCGATAGGAAACGAAAGGTATATTTGAGCTATCTGTAGTAGTTAATGTTGTAACATTGTTCAGTCTTCAACTCTTCGAAGTATATAATCTACTATTTTCAAAGGATGATTTTTATGTTTGACTTTATGTAGGGTGATGATGCCAAAATTACAAGGGATGTTGACTCAAATGATATGAGAATCCGGAAAGAGCTCGAAAAGCAAGAAAACCTCAGACGAAAGGTTTTATTGAGATGAATTTAGTTTAGCCTGTTGTTACACATTTTGTGCAGGTATAACAATTTCACATTTGCATTTTTTAAAAACTAATCCCTACTTTTCCCTTCTTATTTTTTTAGAATGAGGAGCGGATAAAAAAAGAAATGGAGAGACAAGATCGTGAAAGAAGAAAGGAAGAAGAGAGATTGATGCGTGAGAGACTGCGTGAAGAGGAAAGAACAAAACGAGAGGAAAAACGTGAAAGTGAACGAAGGGAAAAGTATTTGCTGAGAGAAAATTTAAAAGTAAGTTTTTAAGTTCAATTGGGATAGCCTTATTTTGGCTAGAAATTTGATAATATATATTCTATTTCCATATGTTTTATTTTAAAAAGGCTGAGAGAATGAGGCAAAAAGAAGAGCTTCGGAAAGAGAAAGATGAAGAAAGAAGGAAAGCTGCCCTAGAGAAGGCAACTGCCCGTAAAATAGCTAGGGAATCCATGGAACTTATTGAGGATGAACAGCTGGAAATGATGGAGTTAGCTGCCTCAAGCAAGGGGCTTTCCTCTATTGTCCGTCTTGATTTCGATACTTTGCAAAACATTGAATCATTTAGGGGTGAGATATTTTTTATTTTTTCTAACTTCAAATTAAATCATTTGGTTGTTCAGTATTTATCTAGAGACACTGAAAAGAAGAATGGAGTTTTAATACTGGAACCTTATTAATATATTGTAGGTTCATTGTGTCTTTTCCCACCTGAGAGTGTAAAGCTAAGAAAACCATTTGCTATCCAACCGTGGATCAATTCAGAAGAAAATATTGGCAACCTTCTCATGGTATGTTCTCATTACAACTTTTGCTTCCTTATAACTTACGTGCACAACAATGTGCAAAATCCATAAGTTACCTGATGTGGATGTTACATTTGGTAAATGTTGCATGTGACGTTGGCCTTCTGCTGTCACTAGAAATCTATTCTGCAGTCTAAGTTGAAAAAAGTATTTTTGTGTATGGAGCTTGTTTGTAGGATTAGCAGTTCTGTGGATGCACTGATTTTCATATCTACATATTGCACTGTCTGCTTATTCTTGAATTGGCATACTGTTTGGTTTAAGGCTTGAAAGTTGTGGTTATCTATTTCAGGTTTGGAGGTTTTTGATTACCTTTGCTGATGTTTTGGAGTTATGGCCTTTTACTCTTGATGAGTTCGTGCAAGCATTTCATGATTATGTCAGTCAGTCTTGCCTATGCTCGTGATATTGTTTGACCAGTATAACTATTTTGTGCACTATATTTGCTCATTCTGGGTGCTCAAATCATTTATCCCAGGATTCAAGATTGTTGGGTGAGATACATGTTTCTCTCCTTAAGGTGATAATGAAAGACATTGAAGATGTTGCAAGGACACCTTCAGGATTAGGAATGAATCAGAATGGTGCTGCTAATTCTGGAGGCGGCCATCCAGAGATTGTGGAAGGGGTAAGTTCAGATATTTCTTAAATTACATTTGTCCTTTCTTCAGAGAAATAGTGTTCTTTTCAATGGAATCCGGTCCTATAACTGCCATTTTTATGATAGGCATATGCTTGGGGCTTTGACATAAGGAATTGGCATAAGCACTTAAATCAATTGACATGGCCAGAAATTTTCCGACAGCTAGCATTATCTGCAGGATATGGACCACAGTTTAAGAAAAGCAGTATTCCATCTTCACGTGCAAATAATAAAAATGAGGTTAATTTTTCTTTTTTTTTTTCTTTTTAAACTTTCAGCTGCTATATTTTAGTGATTTTAAGAATGAGAAATATAGTTTAGATATAACTTCAGTTTCTTACGAGCTTATATGTTCAGCTGGTACCTTTGAAGCTTGTATTATCATGTTTTTCTTGGCATGCATTTTAATCGACAGTTCAATATTTTTATACGGGGGCATTAATGTCATTGCCCTGTCTAAGTGGATCACATTCTATATCTAATTACAGGGAAGAAGTTGTGAAGATGTCGTGTCTGCACTTCGTAATGGTTCAGCAGCTGTAAATGCCGTGGCAAAAATGCAGGAGAGAGGTCTATTAGGTCCTCGGAGATCTAGGCATCGGTTAACTCCTGGAACAGTTAAATTTGCAGCATTTCATGTTCTCTCACTAGAGGATGGTGAGGGATTGAATGTAATAGAGCTTGCCGAAAAAATTCAGGTGAGTTTCATATCTCCTATAGTCGAAGCTCTTTATTGTCAAGTCTGTTCTTAACTTGTGTCTGTCATACCTATCAGAAATCTGGTCTTCGGGACCTGACGACCAGCAAGACACCCGAGGCATCAATTTCTGTTGCTTTGACAAGAGATGCCAAGCTTTTTGAAAGAGTAGCCCCATCAACTTATTGTGTACGTGCTGCATTTAGGAAGGATCCTGCTGATGCTGAGTCCATTCTTTCTGAAGCAAGAAAGAAAATTCAGATATTTGAAAATGGGTTTCTAGCTGAAGAAGATGCTGATGATGTTGAAAGAGAAGAGTCAGAAAGTGAAGTTGACGAGGATCCTGAAGTTGATGATTTGGTTAATCCTTCAAGTGTTCACAAAACATCTGAACTGTTTAATGATTTCTCATCAAATGGAAAAGAAAATCAAGGTCATGATGGAAAACTTAAAGAGGAGTTCGATAAGGATCTACCTTGTTTTCCTGACAATGGTTCCAAGAATGCTGATTATCCAAGTGCTGTTTCTGGACAACCTGTTGCTTGTGAAAATCTAAGTGCCAGAAATCTAGGCGAAGATAATATGGAAATTGACGAAAGTAAGTCTGGAGAGTCATGGATTCAAGGGCTCACTGAAGGAGAATATTCTGATCTCAGTGTAGAAGAGCGATTAAATGCTCTTGTTGTATTGGTTGGTGTGGCAAATGAAGGAAATTCAATCCGCGTTGTTCTCGAGGTAAACTTAATTCCATAAATATATTCTCATCTTTTTTTTTGTATTTGTTTATCAAATTGACATGAAGAGTTGTTTAGGATCGATTGGAAGCAGCAAATGCTCTGAAGAAGCAAATGTTGGCAGAGGCACACATTGATAAAGCTCGCGTGAAAGATGATAATGTCAATAAGTCAGATTTTCCTACTATCAATGGTATCAAGGTTGAAACACAGCTCACGTGTGCTGCTGTGGAGAGCAATCCAAGCCCATTGCTTGATATTAATGTTTGCAATAATAATAATAATGATGATTCTCCTAGCAAATCAGAAAATAAAAGACTAGTTCTTGTTGGACAAAGCCTGCCTGAAAAGCTCTCATCAGGTCAAGATCTCTGCATAGGTCCTGATAATCCCCAGACTATGTTATCTGCACAATATTCAAAACGGTCACGATCTCAGTTAAAATCTTATATTTCCCACATAGCAGAAGAGATGTACATCTATAGGTCCTTACCCCTTGGGCAAGACCGTAGACATAATCGATATTGGCAATTTGTTGCATCTGCTTCTTGCAATGATCCTGGCTCGGGCAGGATCTTTGTTGAATATCATGATGGCAGATGGAGGCTTATTGATTCCGAAGAGGTAAACCGTTTGTTTGTCTTGTAGTATTTTTTTTAATAGATTTTTCTTTCCCCAATAGGCAGTTCCATGTTTTGCTGATCATTTCATTTCTAACTTCGATAGATATCATAATTCATTCCAGGATTGTGAATTTAAATATTGTTTTTGGCTTTGTTGTAGTAGTTCTAATATAGTATATTTAACCAATTGTATTCAGGCCTTTGACACACTTCTGAATTCACTGGATTCACGTGGGATCAGGGAATCTCATTTGCATCTAATGTTGCTAAAGATTGAGAATACATTTAAGGAAAATGTTCAAAAGAATGCAAAATGTGCCAAAATTGGAAACACAAACGAAATACGTGTTAAAAATGAAGCCGATGAAACAGATTCCAGTCCTGATCACCATACTAGTTCTGACAGTCCTAGCAGTACTCTTTGCGGCTTGAGCTCTGATACTTCAGAAACTTCGTCATCCTTCAGAATTGAGCTTGGGAAAAGTGAGTGCGACAAGAAAGCTGCCTTGAGAAGGTATCAAGATGTTCAAAAATGGATGTGGAAAGAATGCTATAACCCATCAATATTATGTGCAACAAAATATGGAAAAAAGAGATGCAAACCTCAGGTTGACATATGTGATATCTGTCTCAACCTTTATTGCTTGGAAGACTCTCATTGCAGTCATTGCCACCTTACTTTTCCGTCAAATGATGGCTTAAATTTTTCTAAGCATGCAATTCAATGTGGAGACAAGTTGCCCAAAGATATTTGTATTTCGGAATCTCCTCTTCCATTGCGAACCAGGTTGCTTAAGGCTCTGCTGGCTTTTATTGAGGTGGGTTGATAATACTTGATACTTCACTTTTTACCTTGATCGATTTTGCTTTTCCACTGAATTTCAAATGTTGGCTTTTTGAGGGATATATTATATTGACATTCTGATTTAGGTATCTGTTCCACCTGAAGCATTTCAATCAATTTGGACTGAGGATATTAGAAGGCTTTGGGGTGTGAAGTTGAACAGATCATCTTCCGCCGAAGAACTTCTACAGGTTTGCCATTTCATTGACAAAATTTTATTCCATTACCATATCTCTGCAACATTTCAAAGACCGAGAATCAATTATTAAGACATTTTAAAATCTAACAATCCATATTGCAGATATTGACTCTATTTGAGAGAGCACTAAAGCGAGACTTTTTATCATCACCTTTTGCTACAACTGGGGATTTGTTGGGGATGAACACTATGTGGGAGAGTACTGCACTTACTTCTATGGATCTCAAGTCAGTTACTGTTCTTCCATGGGTTCCACGGACCACTTCAGCTGTGTCTCTCAGACTTTTTGAGTTTGACACATCAATCACCTATGTAAAGCTTGAGAAACCTGAGTCCTATCAGGAGAAAGAAGCTAGATACATAGTGAGTATTCGTTTTTTTTACTAGACTGCTTTTGCTTTTTAAACTTTTGCGACGTGGTTGGTTGGTTGGCAAGTAATCCCATGAAAGGTTTATAGTGATTAATTTATCCTAGACATTTATTGAGCAGATTGGATGTCAAAATTTGGGAACAGGTTGTGACTGTTTTGCTGGAAAATGTCGCGCTATTCTAATTAACCAACATTAGTCATCTAACTTGTTTTTCTTTCTCGCAGAAGCTTCCTTCAAGATATGCCTCTGTTAAATCTACTAAAGCGGCTGAACCATCATATATGGACTGTGATGAATTCATGAAAGTGAAGTCTGCCCCTATGAAAATTGCGCGAAGCAGCAAAAAACGGGCACGAGTGAATCATGACAAAGGAAGAGCTAAAAAGTTGTCTAAAAGAACAAATGATTCCAAACGAGATAATGGCCGCTTCAGTTTGCAGGTTACTGAGAATCTAAGTCAAAGAATAAATCAGTTTGGACAAGGATCACAAGGGCATGCAGGTGGACGTGGCCCCCGGACAGTTAGAAAAAGGAGAGAGGAGAATAGGGTTGTTGATGATTTGTTGCTGAGCGATAGGGCTGCCATTAATAGCTCCAATTTTAGTAGAGAACCATTGAGAATCATGGATGAGGACTGGAGTGATGAGAAGGCAAGTCCCGTACCGAGGGAAGCTGCTGACACGAGTAGCAGCAGTGAAGAGGATGAATATGATGACAACACCCAGGCAATGGAATCTGATGACAATGCGGAAGCAGTTGAGTACGGTCAAGGAAACTGGGAGATAGGTTTTAATGGTACCCCCAACAGATGGAATAGGGATTTGGTTGGAATGAGTGATGAAGAACGACACTTGGAGGCTTCCGAAGATGACAATGACAATGGCATTGAAGGGAATGAAGAGGAGGAGGAGGAGGAGGAAGAAGAGGATTCTGAAGCAGATGTTATTATGAGTGATGGTTCAGATGGAATGGCAAATAGAGTTGTAAATGAAGAAAGCTCAGACTCGAGTGACTCGGAAGATTATTCTGATTAGAACATTACTTTTTATTTGGTCAGCTAGAAAGGATTGCATTTCATGGCTGCGTTACTTTTTTTTGACATTGCAGCTTTTTACAAGGTAAGAAGGCACTTGTGTCTTGTGCAGTTGTGCTCCAGATCATGTGAAGGCAGGCTCCAAAGGTTTTATAGGTTAATAGAATTATAGTGTATATTATCCATATTCTTGTACTTTTAGGCATTTTCACGCTGAGAGCTAAGCCTGTTCTTATATTCTCTTGTATACAATTGTCTCTGTATTCCTCTCTTCATATAATTTATTAATCCTGAAAAGCTATTAAGTTTACAAGGTTGTAGTGATTGTAATTCTTACCTGTTTAAATAAAATTGAGAAATAAACTGATACCTTGCAGCTAAATCATTATATCTTGATGTTTATTTGTACTCTTACTTGAAAAAGGAAAATGTGAATGCCTATCAACTTGAGAAGTCTCCAAGTTTCATATGCATCTTCAATCAAAGTTATATAAAATCTAGACTTCATAACCAGGCATGCCAACAAGCTGATGCGTTTCTTCATAAATATAATTTAGTGTAGAGGAAGTAAAAGGAACAATTTGAAATTGAGTCTTGTACATCCAAAAGTTCTTTTTTAAAATGTTCAATTTTTTTTATTTTAAATTTTCAAATAAAATATATGGAAATTAAGCTTAGCAAAATTTAGCAACTTATTTCAAAACATGGACTGAAAAATAAAATGAAAAACAAAATGAAGTTGAAGCTCTAACAAGGAAACTAGTAAAAAATATGATTGTAACTAGCTTTGACATAAAGTTGTGAAGACACAATTCTGACTTCTATTAATCGAACTTCCATTGTTGCTTAACTCTAAAGGAATTTCACTAAAAAGAAAGACACTCCATGGTAATAGTAGTATAAGAAAAAGAACACTATCAACTAATGAATTCCCTCCAACGTGGACAACAACTTTGTTTGACATTACAAACCAATCAACCATATTAGTTCACTCAGATCATCAAAAGCTAAACTTTACTAGAGTGAAATCTCTAATTTGAGAGTTTTTATGCCGTGGAATCACAAAAGATCAGTAAACGCTAAGCATAGAATACATACAATAATTTGCAAGCGATAAATCTATTATATAAAATTATGAAATCCACTAAAAGAGAATTCTTTCAAATTTATTATGATATAAGATAACTGACGGCCACGTCCCAAAAGTGTGTAAATACTGAAAAGAAACTTAATGCTAATAATATTCAAAAACAAAAACAAAACAGAAATTAGTAAAATTGTGGAAATAAACAAAAATTGTGGAAAACAATACAGAAATTGCTAAAGTTATGAAAAATGTTAAAATGTTGTTTTCAGGTCTGACATCAGACGTCAATTGCATAAATCTTGTCGAACCATTCTGCCGCACGACTTCTTCTTCGATATATGCAACCAACCTTCCTACACCAGTCTCCTTTACATTTGAAAAACTCGACCCCGAGTTCTCTTCTTGATAAAGAGTCTCATCTATTTAATACGCATGAATATCATCAACATGAAAAGTATTAAATATATTCATGGAATCCAGAAGAGCTACCACATAAGCATTATCATTGATCTTTGAGGTCACTTTGAACAGGCCATACTTGCGTGATTGTAACCCGTTATAAGTACCAACTGAAAACCTCTCCTTACGCAGAAACACCATCACATCGTCTCACACATTGAAAAAATTTAACTTTCTTACATTTATCTCAGATACAAGGCAAATTATTTGATAGTTCATCTGCGATCAACTCCTTGAAATCCTCTAGGATCCCTATCATTTCTTCTAGAAGGTTGTTTCCTCCTTTACCACTCATCAACCCTTTAATCACCACATGACATACAAATTGAGTTTCTATAACAATCTCATCAAGTTTCTTTTCATCCTATGCTATCACCAAGAAAATAGACTTCTTTCCTACATTATCTCGTCTGTTATACGGTGGGAGAACTGATTTTTGGTTTTGTGTTTTACCGCAAATATTGCGGATAACTAGAGTCGCCACCGATTTTTCTTTTATCCAATAAGGAAATGGTGAAAATAACAAGAAAGACCTTTTAAGATTTTGAGTTCGGGGGTAAGTTATGAAAAGGAAAAGTGTTATCACCCTTTTCATCCGTAGTTATCTAAGGGCTCTTAATTGCTTAGCTCACTTTAATTTGCTTTGTGTGTGCTTTAAAAATATTTTGAAAATGCCAATGTAAGGTAGTCTGCTTTATAATAACCCTTGTATCAGTCCTCAAGAGTGTTTATAAAGCGTTTGAAAGTAGTTGTTTTGAAAGTGTGAGGTGCAAAAATTATTTTAGTTTGTGAGCAAGCAATTAAGGGTATCTTACCCACTGAAAGGTCTTTCGTTATCCCTTTCCTTCTCCGTTAGGGGTGGTACTATCCATACCATTAGTTGGTAGGTATCCCTATCCATTGGATGTGAAGGGACGTGCGTAGGATCATCATTATGGTCATAGAAGACAACATATAGGGATGCCTTAGCAATTCGAAGGGACTGTCATCATATGTTCGTAGGCAACATCGAGGGACAAGATCATTTCTCATTGGCAACTTCGAGGGACATCGTAGGACTATGATCTTTATGATGACTTTAGCCGAGGGTCTTTTCTGGAGGTATCCCTATGTTCGAGAGACATGACCATTATTTTTTCCGAAGGCAACAGAGAGAGAGGCTACCTTAGAGGTGTACGTGTGCATAGTGATTCAATTCAAATATATAATCTTGATTAGGATTCTCTACATTTTGTTTTAGATCTTGTCATACACGCCTAATTACTATACAATTATATATACATACAGGCATACATAAGTGCGAAAAGTAAAGGTGCAGAAAATAAATCATAAGCTATTATATTCCATGAGCAATTATATAATAGGAAAAAATGCGAGGAAATAAATTAAGCTATTACAAAAATACTCGTGCGACCTATACATTATTTCTAGAAATTTAAACGACAAAGGAGAAATAAATGTTAGAAAAATGTTTTAATAAACCTAAGATTCTAAGTGTAGAAAAAGAATATTTTTGATGTTTTATTGTTTGAAAAAAATTCTTAAAGTGTGAATTAATAATTAACCCTTATTCTAAATAATTTACAAATTAATTGTGAAATAAAAACAAATTTAATTCTAATTAAAATGATTTTTGTTGGTCAAAAATTAAATTAATTAATTAAAACCTAAATATAATATTTAATGATTTTTTTTTCTGATTTTCTTATGGTCTTTTGATTTTAATTAAAAAAAGGTAATTAAATTAATTAAGCAAAAGAAAAAATAACAAAACAAGAAAATTAAAGAGTTGGGAAAAATGATTAAAAACAAAGCATGGGGTGGGACTTAACCCACGCCCCTAGGTTACAAGGGCACGTCTCATCCACTAGGCCATGGTGCTTGTTATGTTTGGAGAATGATTGGCAATCAACACATAGCTTCCCTGCGCATTATCCGGTGGAGTTTGAAGCACGAGTTTCAGGCATCAAATCTTTTGGTTCTTGGGCTGGATGTGTTCCTGAGGACTTCAGGAAGAGGTTTGGACACTTCGTTTGGCTTGAGAGTGGCTGAATCATGTGATACAAATTTGCACTTTTCTTGAGAATTTTGAGAGATTTTTGAAGTGGTTCTTGATGCAGCAACTCGTGTCCTTTGCATCTGAGTTGTTATGGTATTTATAGAGGAATGAAATGGATCAAAGCAAGACAAGGATCTTGTATCATTATATCACAATTCATTGCAAAGAAAACGCATTCAAATCTTTCCAAAATTGTTTTTAAAAACATTCTAAACTTGAAGATTTTTGTTCCCAACATGTTTTCACAGTTGTGGCAAGCTCTTAAGAGGCTTTGGACCTTCTAGAAGATACCCAAATGAAGCCCACACGCTCTTTGGTCCATCAACTCATATTTTATTTGATTTATTTTGAATTAATTTGAATAAAATCAAAATAAATAAAATAAAAAATCAAAATAATATATAAATGGACTTAGAGGTCCTCTAACACGTTATAAACATGTTTAAACCTCAAAAGTTAGGCCCATTAGTCCAAAAACTCAAAATTGCTCAAATGAAGTTTCATGCATTTTCTCAAAAATTGCCCAACTTGCACAAACTATATCTCATTGAATTTTTATCTTTTGAAGGTGATAATAGACTTTTTGGAAAGCTAAAGACGTTATATATAATATCTATGTTGATTATTTTTGCATTTAGAGAATTTATCTTGATATTAGTTGCCTTGATAAAAAGTGTCTTTTTGTTAACTTTTGAAATGACCTGTAATGTATTGACCCATATCTCTCAAATGATGCATTTTTGGACTTTATCTTAGAGAGACAAAGTTGTAGATAATTGAATTTAATTAAAAATTATCTTTGGTTGGGGAAAAACTGATGAAGCATGTGAAAGTTATGCTTGGTCAAAATTCATTTGACTTCTCCTAAGAAAATCCTAATTTGGCAACTTTTGACTTTTGATTATTTGAGGGATTTTCTTGAGGAATCATGATCAACTCTTGATCAAATGATGGATATCACTTTAAAATGTTTATGTTGACCAAAAATCTTGAAGTTTAATTGCATGTTGGCCATAATTGACTTTTTACCCTATACAATTGATTTTACATCATCTGAGCAATTGACTGAGCAAACTTGTGGTACAAGGCTTGGAACTTGACATGAGCATTCTTAGGGACATATGAAGAGTCATGAAAACCATTTGAGGCATTATAAGTTCAATTTCCTTTGAGAAAAGAAAAACTCTAGTTGTAGGCTAATTGCTTAGGAGAAGACTTGTCTGATCAATTCCTTGAGTAATCTTGAGCAATTGAGAATCCTAGGAAGATGAGGAGACCTCTTGAAATAATTTGATTTGAAAATGAGAGGAAAATTTTTGGGGTACAACATCGTCCTCGAAAAGTTATATAATTATCAAACTAACACGGCCCACCAAATAAAATATGACAAACATTC